ATTTTAGAATAGTGGTGGAATTACAAGGGAGTAATTGCATAGGCCATAACCCAGCAATAATGAAAAAATAATTTTGTACACAATACAAGAACATATTTACAAATGTAAGTCTGATGTTAATGATGAACTGTCTAACTTATATATATATAAATAAACCTAAATAGAAAATGTATTGTGTATCATGCTTAATAAGAGACGACTCAGCAATACACTAAACAGTAGAATTGCTATGAAGTATAAATTAGAAAATGATCTTTCTCCCTATGATGAATAAACTAAGTACAGACTGGACTCTTGTCCAAAATTCCCTAGTTTGCCATACATAATGGTTATCACAATTTTTGCTAGGAAATTAATATAAGACATACTTGGGTGACACTCTGGAAGAGTTTTTGTTATATTTAACTGTTACTATGATTTCATTTCACAAAATGACTTTCATATTAAAATATTAAAGGCTTGAGGGAGGTGAGAGAGAGATGTTATTACTCTAAGGCGCTACTAACACATTCTTATGTTTATAGGGTATGCTGTTGTGGGTTTGGTTTTTTAGTATGCTTACTTGAATTTATATAAAACCCTATGGGTAACATATATGGGTATTGAAAGTTTCATGATATCTTATACATTTTCCAACTTCCCCATCAAAGGTCTGAAGGCTACATATTCTCAGAGCTCTCAAAACTTTAAAGAAATTACACTTTTAATTAATTTTGAGTTGTTTAGATAATGGTGTATGCATGTATACATTTTTGTTGATATTTTATAAACATAAAATTTAAAGGACAAACAATTCCCATAAGTATGAGCATCCAAAAGTCAAACAGCTGCTACCTTGCATTTATGGAGGAAGTAGCACATTCAATGCTGGTAGATATATGTCTTTCCATACATAGCCACAGGCAAAAGTACATCAACATTTTATTATTATTATTATTTTTTTTTTTTTTATTATCATACTGGCCGATTCCCACCAAGGCAGGGTGGCCCGAAAAAGAAAAACTTTCACCATCATTCACTCCATCACTGTCTTGCCAGAAGGGTGCTTTACACTACAGTTTTTAAACTGCAACATTAACACCCCTCCTTCAGAGTGCAGGCACTGTACTTCCCATCTCCAGGACTCAAGTCCGGCCTGCCGGTTTCCCTGAACCCCTTCATAAATGTTACTTTGCTCACACTCCAACAGCATGTCAAGTATTAAAAACCATTTGTCTCCATTCACTCCTATCAAACACGCTCACGCATGCCTGCTGGAAGTCCAAGCCCCTCACACACAAAACCTCCTTTACCCCCTCCCTCCAACCTTACCTAGGCCGACCCCTACCCTGCCTTCCTTCCACTACAGACTGATACACTCTTGAAGTCACTCTGTTTCACTCCATTCTCTCTACATGTCCGAACCACCTCAACAACCCTTCCTCAGCCCTCTGGACAACAGTTTTGGTAATCCCGCACCTCCTCCTAACTTCCAAACTACGAATTCTCTGCATTATATTCACACCACACATTGCCCTCAGACATGACATCTCCACTGCCTCCAGCCTTCTCCTCGCTGCAACATTCATCACACCATGCTTCACACCCATATAAGAGTGTTGGTAAAACTATACTCTCATACATTCCCTCTTTTGCCTCCAAGGACAAAGTTCTTTGTCTCCACAGTCTCCTAAGTGCACCACTCACCCTTTTCCCCTCATCAATTCTATGATTCACCTCATCTTTCATAGACCCATCCACTGACACGTCCACTCCCAAATATCTGAATACATTCACCTCCTCCATACTCTCTCCCTCCAATCTGATATCCAATCTTTCATCACCTAATCTTTTGTTATCCTTCATAACCTTTACTCTTTCCTGTATTCACTTTTAATTTTCTTCTTTTGCACACCCTACCAAATTCATCCACCAGTCTCTGGAACTTCTCTTCAGAATCTCCCAAGAGCACAGTGTCATCAGCAAAGAGCAACTGTGACAACTCCCACTTTATGTGTGATTCTTTATCTTTTAACTCCACGCCTTTTGCCAAGACCCTCGCATTTACTTCTCTTACAATCCCATCTATAAATATATTAAACAACCATGGTGACACCACACATCCTTGTCTAAGGCCTACTTTTTACTGGGAAATAATTTCCCTCTTTTCCTACATACTCTAACTTGAGCCTCACTATCCTCGTAAAATCTTCACTGCTTTCAGTAACCTACCTCCTACACCATACACCTGCAACATCTGCCACATTGCCCCCCTATCCACCCTGTCATACGCCTTTTCCAAATCCATAAATGCCACAAAGACCTCTTTAGCCTTATCTAAATACTGTTCACTTATATGTTTCACTGTAAACACCTGGTCCACACACCCCCTACCTTTCCTAAAGCCTCCTTGTTCATCTGCTATCCTATTCTCCGTCTTACTCTTAATTCTTTCAGTAATAACTCTACCATACACTTTACCAGGTATACTCAACAGACTTATCCCCCAATAATTTTTGCACTCTCTTTTGTCCCCTTTGCCTTTATACAAAGGAACAATGCATGCTCTCTGCCAATCCCTAGGTACCTTATCCTCTTCCATACATTTATTAAATAATTGCACCAACCACTCCAAAACTACATCCCACCTTTTTAACATTTCTATCTTTATCCCATCAATCCCGGCTGCCTTACCCTCTTTCATTTTACCTACTGCCTCACGAACTTCCCCCACACTCACAACTGGCTCTTCCTCACTCCTACAAGATGTTATTCCTCCTTGCCCTATACACGAAATCACAGCTTCCCTATCTTCATCAACATTTAACAATTCCTCAAATATTCCCTCCGTCTTCCCAATACCTCTAATTCTCCATTTAATAACTCTCCTCTTCTATTTTTAACTGACAAATCCATTTGTTCTCTAGGCTTCCTTAACTTGTTAATCTCACTCCAAAACTTTTCTTATTTTCAACAAATTTGTTGATAACATCTCACCCACTCTCTCATTTGCTTCTCTTTTACATTGCTTCACCACTCTCTTAACCCTCTTCCTTTTTCTCCATATACTCTTCCCTCCTTGCATCACTTCTACTTTGTAAAACTTCTCATATGCTAACTTTTTCTCCTTACTGCTCTCTTTACATCATCATTCCACCAATCGCTCCTCTTCCCTCCCGCACCCATTTTCCTGTAACCACAAACTTCTGCTGAACACTCTAACACTACATTTTTAAACCTACCCCATACCTCTTCGACCCCATTGCCTATGCTCTCATTAGCCCATCTATCCTCCAATAGCTGTTTATATCTTACCCTAACTGCCTCCTCTTTTAGTTTATAAACCTTCACCTCTCTCTTCCCTGATGCTTCTATTCTCCTTGTACCCCATCTACCTTTTACTCTCAGTGTAGCTACAACTAAAAAGTGATCTGATATATCTGTGGCCCCTCTATAAACATGTACATCCTGAAGTCTACTCCAACAAGTCTAATCCAACAAACTACTGTCATTTCGCCCTACATCATATCTTGTATACTTATTTATCCTCTTTTTCTTAAAATATGTATTACCTATAACCAAACCCCTTTCTTTACAAAGTTCAATCAAAGGGCTCCCATTATCATTTACACCTGGCACCCCAAACTTACCTACCACACCCTCTTTAAAAGTTTCTCCTACTTTAGCATTCAGGTCCCCTACCACAATTTTATTCTCACTTGGTTCAAAGGTTCCTATACATTCACTTAACATCTCCCAAAATCTCTCTCTCTCCTCTACATTCCTCTCTTCTCCAGGTGCATACACGCTTATTATGACCCACTTTTCACATCCAACCTTTACTTTAATCCACATAATTCTTGAATTTACACATTCATATTCTCTTTTCTCCTTCCATAACTGATCCTTCAACATTACTGCTACCCCTTCCTTTGCTCTAACTCTCTCAGATTCTCCAGATTTAATCCCATTTATTTCCCCCCACTGAAACTTCCCTACCCCCTTCAGCTTTGTTTCGCTTAGGGCCAGGACATCCAACTTCTTTTCATTCATAACATCAGCAATCATCTGTTTCTTGTCATCCGCACTACATCCACGCACATTCAAGCATCCCAGTTTTATAAAGTTTTTTCTTCTCTTTTTTAGTAAATGTCTACAGGAGAAGGGGTTACTAGCCCATTGCTCCCGGCATTTTAGTCGCCTCATACGACACGCATGGCTTACGCAGGAAAGATTCTTTTCCACTTCCCCATGGACAATAGAAGAAATAAAGAACAAGAGCTATTTAGAAAAAGGGGAAAAACCTAGATGTATGAATATATATATGCATGTGCGTGTCTGTGAAGTGTGACCAAAGTGTAAGTAGGAGTAGCAAGATATCCCTGTTATCTAGCGTGTTTATGAGACAGAAAAAGAAACCAGCAATCCTACCATCACGCAAAACAGTTACAGGTTTCTGTTTCACAGTCATCTGGCAGGACGGTAGTACTTCCCTGGGTGGTTGCTGTCTACCAACCTACTACATATCTTTAACAATTTAGGTTTAGGTGATGCTACAGTATTTTTTTAAATTCTTGTTTAAAAATATTCCTTGTACAAATTTTATAGTACAGTACATAAAACAAAGGTTTTCCTATATCTAAGTTGAATTTCTGTATCTAAAACTTGTCATTGAACACAAACTTTAGGCTTCAACACATAATTTAATAAAGTCCATGATTAAATTTGCATATAGAGTAAGGTCATCTTTTAGGAGTTCTTCAGCAAAGAAACCCAAAATATTATCAACAGGAACATGGTAAGAAACTGACATCAAAACAGACAAGTTTATAATTGGGATTGTATCTTTAGTAGCACTATCCTTACTAAAGGGCCTATTATTTAGACACTGTAAGCCGTTGATTTAAAACTTGTAAATTTTATGTCAGAAAGATGAGTATTGAGGTACAATAAGAAAGAAAAATAGGGATGGAAATGTAAACATGTTCATAGCTCTCTCAGACAATTGCTCTTTTCTTCAGCTTCGACTAGCAGCCCTGAACCAGCCCTTCAGTGGAGACATGCATGGAGTTAGGGGTGCTGACTATGCTTGTTACAGACAGGCTCGAAGAGCAGGGCTCAAGGGCACCTTCAGGGCTTTCCTGACGTCTAGGGTACAAAACCTCGACTCGATTGTAAGGTACTCTGACCGGGACCTTCCTGTTGTTAATATTAAGGTAAGCATGAATTGTTTTAATATACATGTATATGTTTATTGTGTAATGAAAAATGCTGTCGAACCTCTCCCTCCCTGGGTGGAGGGAGTGTTTGGGAAGAGAGAATCTCAAGGTTTCTAAGGAAACATAACCTATGTCTAGTTTTAAGTAGTCTATAAGTATTAGGATTAGTCTGCCCGAAATGCTCATGCTAGTGGCTTTCTTTGTGCTAAACAGTACTTCATTACGTATAAACTACAGTTTGTATACTACACAATTTAATAAAATAAATTATTTTTTATATTTTAAAAAACTTCAGGCCTGTAAGAAGGTCCATAGCTGTAACAGTTTATAGAGATGATGATCTATCTTCTATCCTATTGGAATACTGTGAATTACAGTTCTGACAGTGAGCCCACTAGTAAGAATTAGGATTAGTCTGTCCAAAATGCCTAGGCATGCTAGTGGCCTTCTTTGTAATTAATATTTTATAATATGTAAACCACACATTGTAAGCTTTGCAAGGAAATAAATATTTTCATTTTCATTTTGAAAGAGAATAGGTCTAAATTGTTGTTATATGTTTGGGAGGTTGCTGATGTATAAGAGGAAGAGTAGGGGGGGCCAAGAACACTTCTCTGAGTGTTCAGAGGTCTTGATGATGTTATGTTCTGAATAGAGATGTATTACAGTACATGGCGAATCTGTTACACATCATCCAGGAGTTTCCACAGGTCTAACACAAATATACAAAATTGCTACAATATGTTTCTATACACCTGTTTCACCTGTTTACCTACCAGCAAATAGGTACTTAGCCATTAACTGGCTATCATGGGTTGCATCCTGGGGGAGGGGTTAGTATACTGCACCTTAGATACGGGTGGACTTTGAAATAAACTGAGGCAGGGTGACAGCTCTTAGCTTGTAAATTCAACAGTTTAAAAAATTAAGTTCAATGTTAGTTTATTAGTACTGTACATATATGTTTTAAAGTGAAGAGCATAATCAGTAAGTTAAAATAACCTCATGTGTACTTGTGTGTGCTTAACGCAAGGCAATGAACAGAGTAGAAACATTGGGCATGTTTCTTTACACCTATTGTCTGTTCCCCATCAGTAAAATGGGTACCTGGGTGTTAGTCGACTGGTGCGGGTCGCATCCTGTGACACTGACGTAATTTGCCCGAAATGTTCAGCATAACAGAGGGCTTTCTATATAGTAGTATGTCACTGATGTCAGCTATGCCTGTATACCATGTACATGTACTTGTAGTAAATAAAGATATTATTATTATATTATTATTATTATTATTATTATTATTGACTGCACTTACAGGGAGAGGTTCTCTTCAACACATGGCGTGGCATTTTCTCTGGCTCTGGAGGCATCTTTTCCCAGAAACCTCGTGTGTTCAGCTTTGATGGAAAGGATGTATTATCCAGCCCTGTTTGGTAAAATACTGTCTTGTTTTCCTTTTATTTATAGAAAGAAAAAAAAGTCAGCCCTGGGTTTCTTTCATTGTAAACATAATACTGTTTTGGTTAAAATGTATTGCATGCATTTTAGCAGTATAGTATTGAATAAACACAGTTTTAATTGCTGACTGCAGCTGAATATTTATAAATCCTTAAGAATAATTTAATTAAGATTATTCATACTTACTTTATAAAAGAGTTTACAAATTATTACAGCTCAGATAAATTATATATTTGTTTGCATAAAGATACCTTGCATTGCTTTTCATATTAAAGTTCACCAATATTAGGTTCAAAAGAAAAACTAAAACATTTCTTTATAGGCCTCAAAAATATGTGTGGCACGGGTCGGACCTGTTGGGAGAGCGGGCACTCTCCTCCTACTGTGACGCGTGGAACAGCGACTCTCAGTATGTGATAGGACTTGCCTCTTCCTTGTTGAAGAACCGCCTGCTGGCTCAGGAACGGTTTGGCTGCCACAACTCTTTCATTGTCCTCTGTATTGAAGCCACAAGCCAGGCTCGCTACAGACGGAAGCGACATGCTGGTACCCAGGAACCAGAGTTAACTGAAGATGAGTTCAATGACCTCCTCAACTCTCTGGACTTGGTAGAGGGAGATGTTTAAAACCAAAAACTGTGTGTGTGTGATCTGTAAGTTACTGCATTAAGACTGACAGACACTTGAAGCATCCTCAGAAGAACACACATACATAAAGAGTGTAAATCTCGTATTCCTTCAGTTAGAAGACTTGAGTTCCAACTGCTACTTACATAAATAGTGGTGGCGGTGAGAATGTTACTCATTTACATAAAAATAAATAACAGTCCTTTATAATATTTCTACAAATTTGAACTTTCAAGTTGAATGTAATGTTTTCAGAAATGAGAATCGTTAACGAATCCTTTGCTCAAAGAAAACAGTTTACCATCGTATGTGTATGTGCAAGTAACATTCCTACAGTTTATCTTACGTCTTGTGTTAGTGTGGTAACAAATAGTATTGAGCATGATGATACTGAAAATCAAAACAATTTCTTTGATACTGAGAGATAATCAGGTGCTAAAGAAACTCTTAATGTACCGAATGATATTTTATTCCTGTAAATAAAAAATTAGATGTGCATTTTATGAGTTCTATATCAAGAAAATCAAAACTTCAGAAAATAATGCCAAAGTGTAAGAATCAGTGATTGAGAACTTGAGGGACCACGACACCCATGTCTAGGGGTGGGTGTTTCTTGTGCTAGAAGATAATAAACACAATTTGTTCAATCAATACATTACTGGTAAATATATACAGGCCACCCCTACTTAATGATAGCAATGTATTCCACAAAAACTTGTTTTTAAGCTAATTTACATTAAGAGAATATCAATTTTCCAGGCCTTCATTAAACTTTTTAGTTGGAGATATATGAGAAAATCACTTTCATTTTTTCTATTCAGTATTTTTTTAATACTGCAGCCACCTCCCACCAAGGTAAGGTGACTCAACAAAGAAGAAAGTATTTTCACTTAATCATTGTCTTGCCAAAAGGGCATCGTGATGTCAGCACCTTCTGGCACGATTAAATGAGTGAATAAAATAATAAAAAAAAACTGAATAAAAAAAAATATACTTTTCTCAGTAACGCCACATTTTGTTGACAGTACACCATAAACGCTAGCAGCTTGTATGCAGGAAATAATCAGCATAGCATAGCTGTATTCCCCCATTTCTGCACAAAATTCTTATCAGTAATGGTCATCATGTTTGCATGATGACTTGAAGCAATATGTGATAATTTTTCTCTTAGTCTTCTTATCATTTACATTACATATATATAATTTGTTAAAATATATTCATTATTTTGCTATATTGTATCTTACTTATTTCAATATATGTATACACCCTCTCATCACTTAACGATGGAGTTCTGTTCCTAAGACCACATCGGTAAACAAATTCATCACTAAGTGAGGAACATACTATAATGGTAGTGGGTTTGTGTCAACCATCTTTGATATTGTTTTAATGTCACCTTTGCACCATTGATAAAATTTCTGGTATATTTTTAAATGTTTATACAGTAGTTTACTGTATACAGCCTCTCTTTACTTAACAGTGGAGTTCCGTTCCTAAGACCTCGTTGGTAAATGAATTTGTCGTTGAGGAGCATACTATAATGGTAGTGAGTCTGTGTCAGTCATCTTTGCTATTGTTTTAATGTCACCTTTGCACCATTTATAACATTTATGATATATTTTTAAATGTTTAGACAGTAGTGTACTGTATATTGTAATAAATAGAATAGAGGAAATCAGCTCTAATATACATTATTTAGGTATGCATACTGGTCAGAGAGCCCGTTGTAAGTCCAAGTCACCAGTAAATGAGTACATCGCTAAGTGAGGAGAGGTTGTATTAATATCTTTAAATAGTTGAGGAAATTCATACTCTATTCTTACTTTATCTTATATCTCATCGGCATCAATCTGTTGTAAAATAACCTGTATATCTAAACTAAAGATCTTTTTTTCATAAGTTTTACACTACTTGCAATTCTTGTCACTTACTGACCTTATTAAACCCATGCTAGCACTGGTTAAATATAATAATGAACTCAAAAAATGTACCATGTAGCCTCACTCAAAAAACACACAAATTAGCTAATTACCAGCACTTGCTTGTACCATCCTGGTTAGTGCCTGTGTTAAGTCCTTGCCAGGAGCATGTGGACACATTCACTCACCTCAGCTAAGTTTGTGAGAGCTGTCACAACATTTGTTGTTAAGTTGGGAGAGGTTATTATGTGAGCTTGTTTCCTAAGCTACAGTTTTTCATTAAATAATAAACCAAGTTGTCATTAAGTAGGAGGATGACCAGTGCCATTGTAACAAAATACTGAAAGTCTAATATTTTTTTAATGCATATGACCACATTTCTTAGGCAGTGACTGTGTCTTTTCTAAGTAATTGTAATGCCTTAGAGTTAATGTCTCTCTTTTGGGCTACTCATCTGTAAAGTGTAATGATATGATATTCCTCTTCAACAAATTTGAGAAAAAGAGTGAACTGCTACAGTGTGAGGTGCTTGAGAGAGGAGACATCTGGTAGCAGGTGTTTTTATAGGGAAATACCATAGTAACACTTTATGGCAGTCTTTCATCCGCAGTTTTAAAATAGAAATTATCACAGACTGTTTGAAGAAAACCCTTATATTCTTATAATAGCTGTGCTACTGGTATTAAAAGGATTACAGATACCAAATTTGATCTCAAGAGCATATTGGCTTCCTGTGTCATGAGTGTAAATAGCAACAGAATTCCAAAAATTGATACGAAGACTCTTAAGAACTTGAAAAAAGCCTAAAATATTTTTTTTATTCTTCTCTAGGTTTAGAGTAAATATAGTGTGCAGTACCTGTATTTACCTAGCAGCCTCTGAATGGACAAGAAGCTAGAGTCTTCTCTTGGTCACCCAATTCTGCCTGAGGAGTAAAAGGTTGTATGTTCTGACTTCCAGCTTAGGTCTTCTTCAGCAGATACTTAAATATGAGGGGGAAGCATAATATATAAGGACATGGTAGGTCACATGAAAACTCTGGAATATCACATGGTGGATGCTAGTTTATTATGAGCTAATACACAGTGAAGTAACTTTCCTCAAGGTGGAGATATCAAATCATTAGTAATAATGATTTGCACAGTTCAGTATCTCAAGCCAGAGATAAGGTACTGCTATGTGCATTACCTTATAATTGCATGAATTCCTTGACATTCCCAAGTTTTCATGTGACCTACCTTCCTCTGTTTGAGAGCAAAGTGTGGTGTAAATATCATGCAGAGAATTCACAGCATAGAAATTAAAAGGCTATGTGATATCACTAAGGATATGATTGAAAGGGCTGAGGAGGAGGTGTTGAGGTGTTTTGGACATGTAGAGAGGATGGAGAGGAATAGGTTGACAAAGAGGGTACATAAGTCTGGGGTGGATGGTAGGAGGGAGAGGAGCCATCCTAGGAACAGTTGGAGAGTGGGGGGGAAATAAATGAGGCATTAGTTTTTTTTGGGCTTGATCATTCAGCAAGCTCAACATGGTATCTACATACATACAGTGTTGTTACAGCTTACAATTTTGTATGTCAGAGACTCAGACATGATTTGCTGAGTTCCTTCATCTATGTATTTTCCATAAAAAAAAGTGAAAATTGGACTCGAGTTAACTGTTCTAAATACAGTACTGTATGTATTCTCCTACTTGTGTTTTTGGATATCAAGTTATGGCTCTTGGGCCCTGCCTCGTGACGTATTCAAATGGCATGTTGTCTCCCAAGCCCCACGGTCCTCATCGTGATCCTACAGTACCAATTTTCAAATAGTTTATTCACATCACTAACTTGTGTCTTGTTTAAAAAACATGTTTAATATTTACTTTGTTTACCAAACAATAAATGTCTTATTCATACTCTAGATGCTAATTTTCTCTTAGGCACTCACATTTACCATCGAAAAGGGGTCCCATGATCCAATATGATTTCAAATGATGGTGGTGGTGGGGGGGATGTGCGTATGTGCATGCATATATATATGTATATATGTGTGTGTGTATGTGTGTACTCACCTATTTGTAGTTGCAGGGGTCGAGACTCAGCTCCTGACCCCACCTCTCTGTGTGTGTGTACTCACCTAGTTGAGGTTGCAGGGGTCGAGTCCAAGCTCCTGGCCCCGCCTCTTCACTGGTCGCTACTAGGTCACTCTCCCTGAACCGTGAGCTTTATGTACGTACGTTTGTAGATGAATGGTTCAGAGAACCGACATGTTGATAAATTAGACACGTGTCTAATTTATCATCGTACGTATGTACTTACTCAGCTATTTGTGGTTGCATGGGTCAATTCTCAGATTCTGGCCCTCTTAACTTGCCACTTGACAGATTCACTCCCTGTAGCTTTGTGGGCCCTATCAGGCCTGCTCTTTAAACTGTGTATGGAGTCTGCCTCCACCACTTCCCTATCAATTTGAGACTGAATAAATACTTGCTGACATCCTTATGGTTCATGTTTATCTTTAACTTCCAGCTGTGTCCACAAATTCTTGATTCTCTCCTCTCATACAATCTGTCCTTGTCTACTCTCTCATTTCATGTTAACATGTCCTCCCCGGTTCTTCTGTCCTCTAGTGTCTTTTGATTAAATTCTATTAGCATCTCCTCATAGCTTACACCCCTAAGCAGAGGTTAAGGAACTAAATCTGAGACCTTGGCAGAGAGAAGGACAAGGGAAGTCATGATCATGACATGCAAAATCGTAAGAGGAATTGCTAGGGTAGATACCTGGAGTTTACCTGGAGAGAGTTTCGGGGGTCAACGCCCCCGCGGCCCGGTCTGTGACCAGGCCTCCTGGTGGATCAGCGCCTGATCAACCAGGCTGTTGCTGCTGGCTGCACGCAAACCAACGTTTCGAGCCACAGCCCGGCTGATCAGGAACTGACTTTAGTTGCTTGTCCAGTGCCAGCTTGAAGACTGCCAGGGGTCTGTTGGTAATCCCCCTTATGTGTGCTGGGAGGCAGTTGAACAGTCTCGGGCCCCTGACACTTATTGTATGGTCTCTTAAAGTGCTAGTGCACCCCTGCTTTTCATTGGGGGGATGGTGCATCGTCTGCCAAGTCTTTTGCTTTCGTAGTGAGTGATTTTCGTGTGCAAGTTTGGTACTAGTCCCTCTAGGATTTTCCAGGTGTATATAATCATGTATCTCTCCCTCCTGCGTTCCAGGGAATACAGGTTTAGAAACCTCAAGCGCTCCCAGTAATTGAGGTGTTTTATCTCCGTTATGCGCGCCGTGAAAGTTTCTGTACATTTTCTAGGTCGGCAATTTCACCTGCCTTGAAAGGTGCTGTTAGAGTGCAGCAATATTCCAGCCTAGATAGAACAAGTGACCTGAAGAGTGTCATCATGGGCTTGGCCTCCCTAGTTTTGAAGGTTCTCATTATCCATCCTGTCATTTTTCTAGCAGATGCGATTGATACAATGTTATGGTCCTTGAAGGTGAGATCCTCCGACATAATCACTCCTAGGTCTTTGACGTTGGTGTTTCGCTCTATTTTGTGGCCAGAATTTGTTTTGTACTCTGATTGAAGATTTAATTTCCTCATGTTTACCATATCTGAGTAATTGAAATTTCTCATCGTTGAACTTCATATTGTTTTTCTGCAGCCCACTGAAAGATTTGGTTGATGTCCCCTGGAGCCTTTCAGTGTCTGCAATGGAAGACACTGTCATGCAGATTCGGGTGTCATCTGCAAAGGAAGACACGGTGCTGTGGCTGACATCCTTGTCTAGTCGGATATGAGGATGAGGAACAAGATGGGAGCTAGTACTGTGCCTGTGGGGACAGAGCTTTTCACCGTAGCTGCCTCGGACTTTACTCTGTTGACGACTACTCTCTGTGTTCTGTTAGTGAGGAAATTATAGATCCATCGACCGACTTTTCCTGTTATTCCTTTAGCGCGCATTTTGTGCGCTATTACGCCATGGTCACACTTGTCGAAGGCTTTTGCAAAGTCTGTATATATACATCTGCATTCTTTTTGTCTTCTAGTGCATTTAGGACCTTGTCGTAGTGATCCAGTAGTTGAGACAGACAGGAGCGACCTGTTCTAAACCCATGTTGCCCTGGGTTGTGTAACTGATGGGTTTCTAGATGGGTGGTGATCTTGCTTCTTAGGACCCTTTCAAAGATTTTTATGATATGGGATGTTAGGGTCAGACTTTGAAATAAGTAGCCCACAATCAAGGGGACACAGGTGAAATCTGAAGATACAGATGAGCCATAGAGATGTAAGAAGTACTGCATTTCTTTAATCACAGGATGGTCAAAGAAGTGAAATGGAAGTGGTGAAGGCAAACTCAACACACAGCTTTCAAGAGAAGATATGATAAGGCCCATGAGGCCAAACATAAGTGATGCTGATCAAGTTAGTCAAGGAGATGGAATCAAGGGGGTAAATCTCAACCCATATAAACATAATTTAGTGAGTATATGGCTACTATAGTTAATCCAAAGTAAATGCAAGTCATGCAAACAGAAAAGGATGAAAGGAAACCAGGGAAAAAGTATGTATGTGGCCTACAAGGTCTGACAATGCAAATATCCTGGTAGAAAGCAGTGGAGAAATGAATGTCAGACTGAATGTATCACTGCATAACAATGATCTTTGCAAGATTGTTGTAGTGCCCATTGTTTGTTATTTTCTCTGCCTCCATGATTTTCACGATCCTTCCATGTATAGAACAGTAATGGATATTAGTAAGACTTAATTTATTTTATCCTTGCCCCTATTTATTAAACCTTTTTCCTCTATGTATTTATTTTCTAATATCCCTTATTTTCTCTGTTTCATATTCACCCTGCATCTTACTTCTCCTGCCTCAGGAGGTTTTTGACAATTATGTTTCCTCCTCTCCATTTCCATATGCAAAAGCTCACTTTCCAACTATAACCCTATGCTCACTCTCTTGAATACTTCCAGTGTCATTTTCATGCTATTGTAGAGTACATGGATGGTTCTGCATCACATGATGGTGTTGGGTATGCAGCTGTTTTTCCTGAGAGTAATCCAACAGCATTTACTAGAATTGGCCACTATTTTCACAGAATTATATACAGTTCTCACTTCTATCATACACATTGTGACCATGTCAGCCTTGTCATTCATAGTTATTATTTTGAAATCCCAAAGTGTGTTCAAGCTATTCAGAAATTTGACTCCCCTCATCCCATTATCCTTTGCATACTACTTTGGTTATGTTACATTTTTGGTAAACACAAAGAAGTCATTTTTTACTAGGTCCTTAAACATGCTAATGTTATGGGTTATAAATAACAGAGCAAGCAGACTCAGCTGCTTGGTCAGTCATTTATAACCTCCCAATTTCCCACAAGGGTATTCCTTTCTTGGAATATTTTTTCAACACACTCAACAATTCCACAACTGCTGGCACCCACATTGGTCAGAGTTGGACCAACACATTTAGGATTTTGGCCCAATTCTTCCCAAAACTGTTGGGTTTGGGAGACTGCACCGTTATGCTTATGTATCAGACCCACATGATTCACTCATGGATACCACATGTAGAAATGGGTCTGGTGGCTCATTCAATCTACTATATCTTAACAGAATGTCCTATCAGCAAGCATGCTGGGTTCACTCCCAATGTCTACACCTTTCTATTACACTCAGTGTCTGACCTTCCATGCAAAATTTGACTTTTTAATGGAAAATGACCTATTGCACCAACTTATATTTAAGTTTTACTCTTGAACTAACTCTCACTTCCATTAATGCTTCCCCTTGCACACCCCTGTCCTTCAGCTCACTCCTTACTATACTTTTGCACATCCCTACTTGCAGTGCTGTATAACCCATACAGGTTTAGTGCTTAAATTGATTACATTATTTTTTCCATTTTATAATAATAGCAACATATGAGAGGTTAGTGAATGTTAGAACTACTTTTGCATATTCTGAAAAGAATCCTTTATTATTCTGTACTAGGCAAGACATATCAGGCCTATCATACATTGTGCAGCACAAGCATGGAGACCATGTCTTTAACCAAAATATTCAAGATGGGGAAAGTAAAAAGAATGTAAATAAGTCAAATTCCCAGAGCAAAGAGAATTTAGTTTATGAGGAGAATTTAAAGGAATAAACCACTGTAATCACTTTAAAAAAGAAGAGAAGGTCAAGAAAAAAATTAAAAAGGGAAAAAAATTACTTAAACAATTTCTAAACATCCGTGGGGAAAAGTTTCAGAGAGGGGTAAAAGGGAAAAGCATGTAGGGATGCTAGCCCTCAAAAATGACCCAAAGAATGTCAAAAAAATTACTAATTTTTTTTAAGGGAGGGGTTTAGGTGGAATGAGGCAGATAAAGTGACTAAAAACCCGATATCTTCATTCAGGGTTTTAGGCATGTGCGCTGCACTGTCACAGGAGCGGTTTTCCCCCCCTGAAACCACAATTAGGTGAGTACACTACAACACAGCTATGACTCTACTCTCCCAACCACAATTAGGTGAGTACATACGTTTATATATATACACCACACAAAACAGGAGTTCTAAAAAATAAGAACACCCAACAAGGGATCACAGTTGGAAGTTGAAGACTCCGATGAACATGGGAAATTTTGGGAAAGGTATTTCTTCAGTCACAGGGGTTGCCCAAGGGAGGGGAAAATAGCCCGGGGAAACGTGATGCAGTGGAATTTAGGATCCTTTCATAGCTTTAAGAAGAGGTATGAAAAACCCCCATGGAGCAGGAAGAAACAACCTAAAAATTGACCATTGAAAGGCGGGGCCCAGGACTGGGGGACTTGCCCCCTGAAACCCACAGCTGGTGAATACACAAACATAACATGCATGCACACACCCCACACAAAACCTAAAAACATATTTTATAAAAAT